GTTGCTCTCTCTGGTGCGTGGAAGTCATTTTAGAATCCTTAGGGAGTTCAGTCTTTAATGGATGCCGGGATCCTGTCTTACTGTACTTTAAATACGTCGATGATTGTCTACTAGTGTTGAAAACTGATCGAATAAATAATGTTCTAGACTTTTTCAATAGTTTTTATCCCTTTATACAGTTTACAGTTTAATATAAAGTTAATTATCCGACTCCCTTTTTTGATATTTATACTACACGTTTTTCGAATTCCATTAGCACAATAGATTTACATGAAAAATTCTCAGCCGCAGGTAGATTACTTGACTTTTTTTCACGTAACCCATAATGCCAGACGATCGCTATTCTTTTTTCTTTGATTGACAAAGGTTTAAAACTTGTAGATTCATCTCTTGGATAATCCTTTTTAACAGATACATAAAAGCTAGAATTACTTTTCTTAACAGACGCATAAAGAGTTCTCTAGAATCTTGCATTCTTAACTATTAGGAATGCGATGCAAATGTTAATAAAATCGTTCCTTGAATTCGTCAGCTCTCAACAGGAATGTGTTCCTTGTTGGTCCTCTTTCCAGCCTATGGAGATGACTCCTCGCAGGGCCTTGTCCAAATACAATATTTGTGTTGTTTACACAGGCTCTGGGAGATTGACTCACATTATTAGGTTAAGAAAGGACTCAATAAATAAGTTAGAATATGAGTGGAATTGTCCATAAGATGTCATGTAAGTGCGAAATATGTTACATTGGCCAAAATAAGACACACTTACGTGAGCGTTTGTGTGAGCACGATCGTTACAACAAAAATAAACATGTAGTCAGCTTTGTATAACCATTTTGTCTAGTGTTCGCAGGGTCTCGTTTTTAAGAAAGTAGTGATTCTTGATCCAGAACCTAATAAATACAAGCGTGAACTCTTCGAATTTATTTTATAACATCAACGAATAATAACAATAATCTACGATTAGATACACAAGAACTTAACAATTTTTACAAAAATTTCTTATTTTAAACTTAAAGTGAAATAGAAATTAAATCATAGTTCTTATTTGTACGTTCTTATATTTCAAACACTTTTAAATATTCTACATTGTCCTTTCTTCGTGATGTCTTGACACTTCCATATTAGATTAATGTTTTCGAAAAAAGTTGTTTATGTAAATTGATTGTTTCTTTTGGATTCTTACAAAGTTGTATTTATGTACAATAATAGTTTATTAATCCTGAAGAGGCCTCCAGCATGACGGCGAAATATTGATCATATGTATTGACGATTACTTAAATGAATAGTCGTGCTCTAAAAGACTAAGTTTCAGATCTTATTATTATGAACCAGTATTCTTTTAAAATAAAAGAGAGAAAGAGAGAGAGAGAGAGAGAGAGAGAGAGAAAGGATACAGTGAAGTTTTCGTTATAATTTACAGTGATGTTTATTAAATGCACATATGTAGCGCTCTAACCTTTGCTATATCTTGAATTCGTCGAGCGAGCGAAGACTATGCGATCACGGTAGATTAGTTTGTCTGAGGAGAATATTTTGGAGCGGCTAAGCAGTGACTGTCATACAGTCAAAGCTGCGTTAGTGCTTGCAATGAGTGATGTATACCTAGTGAGTGTCAGGCGGCGAGGTTTGAAATTTAAACCAGGTACGAAGTTTTAAAACGCATTTATGAAAACAAATTAATTAATAATTAGTAAACGATTGTATGGTTAATAATAAATCATCAACTGAATAATGTGTATCATAAAAACCAACTAGTAATTAAATAATCAATAATCAATATTCTATTAAATAAGTTTTAATAATAAATAATTAATTAAAAATTACTTTGAACGGTTACATCATCAAACTTGTTAACGCTAGTAGATGAAGAGAAAGAGAGAGGACTAATATAGCAGACATTTACTTGCATCTAAGTGAGACAAGCTTGACTCACTTCTGTGGTTCATCGAAGGGTTAGCTATGCATCTTTGACGAAACGCTGATGGTGCTGTGATTCTTGGCCTTACTATTATAACAAGAAAATTCAAAGCACCGGGTTGTAGAATACGTACTGGTAGCACAGTTGTTTAAGTGCAGACCTGTTGATAGAAGTGACAACGATTACTAATTTCCTACCAACTTCATGTTTATGTTTCAGTTAAAAAACAACAACTTGCAGTCATCAATGGCTTGGTTCAGCCTACTTATCGTAAAAACCCTTTTGTTCTCAATTTGGCAGTGCTTATTTATATGGATAGAACTTTCCTTGCTCGCATGTTGCTCAAGCCCGATCTATTTTACATTATTTTTTCTTTCTTCTTCGTAATACTCTGCTCAGTAGCTCCTACTGTCCTATCTGACATTTATTATCTTTCTCTCCCTTTCTTTCTCTCTGACTCTCCTTAAAATTAATGTATGTAACTAGTTTGGTTTGCATTTTTAGTTTTACTGACCTTAAATGACTCTCTCCGTAACTTCACTTGCAAATCGGTTTCAGTTTCTCAGCTCATGCAATTAGGTGGCTCCACTATTACCTCTCAGGCCTTTCACTAGCAGTTTTGAGTCAAAAAGGTGAGCTCACTGATTCTCAACCAAGTACCTCTGGTGTACCGTAGGAATCTTTTCTGGTACAGTGTTGTTTTTTATTTCCATTTAGGCTATGTTATAGTAGTTATATTTCCGTTTGCGTTATTGCAACACTATGATTTTTTCTGATGAACTTCAGATGTAAAAGAAAATGCGTACTATTCTAAATGCGACTAACCTGTTTGTTACTGATCATAGCATTCCATCTTAAGCAGCTTAAAAACCTTATGAGTAATCTCTAGCAGAAACCTATCATGGAAAACATACTTCTGTAGAGTGTATTCTAAGGTTCATTGGGTGCTGCATAGGTTACGGTTTAACGGTGGGTAGTTTTCTCATTGGCTTCGTCAATTGCTCTCACGTGCATCACTGATACTGCACTTTGATGACAGGTCCCTGGTGTACATAAAATATAGTTTATGTGAGGTCTTACTTGAATGGCTTGAAAACAAAAATTAGAAAAACTGTACTTATTAATTAAGTCATACAACGCTTGATCATCTGAAACCGTTTTTAAAAATAAACCGCCTGCTTCTTCTATGTGTCTGTTGTAGAACTTGAAAAAGATCTTCGATTTTTCGGACCATGTTGCTGCTTGCCTTATAGTGTTTGGTTAAGCCCCTGTTGATAGGTTTTCAAGGTTGAGGCATACCTAGTGGGGTGAGCAGTAAAACTATCGTCTACTTTCACTTCCTTTAGCACCGTTTTGAGCCATGTATGTGTCGTGTGAACTGTATCTCTAATTTCCGGAGCCTGTAGTACTTGGAAATAAGATCCTACGAGATAAGCAGTTGATTTAATGAGCCTGTGAATGTCGTGGTCTTCTTCAAATAGAGCTTTAAGATGCGATAAGTGCATACGTTGTAGTTTTAAAAAATAGGAGAGAAATCACTTAGCTGGCTTGCTCCTGGCCTGATAATCTTTGTAAGGTCTGGAATCCTTATTTCCACTTTTTTGATAAAGATTTTATATTCTTCATCTTTACAAGGTTTAGAGTTTGCACCCTAAAAGCATAGTTGTCTTCCAACAAAGAAATTGTAAACTTAATTCTTCCAAAAGAGACCACACTTGCTTAACTAAAACTTTCCCTACATCCCAGGTAGAAACTGAACACGCCTTTAAAAAATCTTGCTAAGAGGTCAGATGTCTTAGAACTTTCCAGATCGTTTGACCTCAGGAATATGCCATGTTGTGGTTTTGGTTTAGTATTGGGCTGTTTTGCTGACTAAATTATGTTTGTATAAAACCGCATGCAAAGTGATCGGTAGTTCTTAGATTTCAATGATGATTTCGTCATTGACGCGATGGCGTGGTGGTGCATGTATTGTTGTTTAGCTCCGTGGAAGCTATAAACTAATTTATGTCGTAATATTGTGTGACATTGCAATAAAATACACCACCAGTGTGAAAATTTTTACATACTTGGAAGTATTATTTCTAGTGTTTGCCTGTAATTTTTGTTGCTGTTAGTACTTTATTATCCATGGGATGAAATAGAACATTTTATCAGTAAATCAATCTCATTTTCTTGACATATGTCCTTAGTTTAGGCATCTTATGATAGACACTTATGCGCCTGAACATATTAGAATCAAGATCTTAAATTAACTATGTTTGTGAGTAAAAAGTTTAAACTTGACTATCGTTTAATCTGAAATTAAAGCTCCACAGGATCTTGGAAAGTCTTGAATCATCTCGCGCGATTGCTGCCACATTAAAAGGTCTAGTTGATATGATGTAGAAAAAGATAATAGATTTTAATGAATTGGCCACGTGTTCCGTTTCAAAACCATATCTGAGATTATATGTAAAGGTGGTGCCGTAAATTGTAGTTTACTTTAGACATCCAAACTATGGTAATAATCACATCGTTTATATAGTAATCAAATACTTTTCTGAGCATGAATCTTACTAAAATTGTAGCCACCTGTACAATAAAAATAAAGCTGTGGCGTTTGGCATCAGACTAAGTTGTCACATGTTTTTTTATAACTATTACTCTATACTTTCGTTAAATAATAATCAAATTTTTTGTTACTATTTCGTCATTAAAACTATATTAGTGTTTTTTTTGTACTGCTCTGTGATTGATACTCTACTTTAGGTTTCCACTCTACCAGTCGAAGTATTAGCAAAGGTAATCAGGTATTTGTAAACTTGAGTTACTCACACTTGTAGCGTTTCTAAGTTCAGAACGTTATAGAATTAGGTTCTTGTTTTTTTTTTTTTTTTTTGCCACTAATGATAAAGTATACAGTTTTATATAAGTATACAACCAGTTCCACGTATTAGAAAACGAAAACTTTCGTATAAGGCTCCTTTATACTGCATATCATTAATAATAAATAAATAAACATTTTGTTAACACAATCTATACATTTTTTTAACGTTTTTGTATACGTGCCAAGTTATTAATATAAAATTCATTTATTTAGGATTCGTCAATAAAAATAAGCCCTAAAACAGGATTACCAAAAATAACCAGAAATAAACCTGCTCACGAAAAATTGACCTTCAAAAATCTTTCTCGTTGTGAAACAGAATGTATAAAATTAAAAACAGATGATTCATGTGTTGCAACAAATTCAATGAAGTCTTTAATAAGCACAATTAGCCATCGCCCAGAAAATGAAACGTTGGACGAAAAAAAAAAACGAAAACAAATGATCAAAATTTATAGAAAGGTAATATTTTAAAAGTCAATTTCAGTGCAATTTATATAATACAACATGTTTTTTTCAGGAAAGAAGAAAAGAACGGAAAGAAAACACTATTACCTTTAAACAAGAAAAAAAACAACAAGAAAAAATTTTAATAAATCAAAAGCAAAACATTCAAGGAAACCATATTTTTTAACAATTTTTGTTAATAACGAATGTCTATTAGCCCTACGATTCATTATAAACGAAGTGTATAGTTAGTAATACATTTTACATTGACTATAATTATTGAGTGGCATCTAAAATTCGAATACTCATTACCAAGTGTACTATCTCCCACCATTCTTCCCTATTTTGTGCTGTATCTACCCACGACCTATCAACTAACTTGCCGTTTTCCTTCAGAGCTTATAACAGTTTATATTTTGTTATTTTTTTTGGTCGGCCTAGTGGTATAGTTTTTCCCTGTTGTTTCTAATATAGTTAAATCTTCATACCTGCTAAACTTGAATAATCAGCCGTCAGTCAAAACGAATATATTTAAGTAAGTAACTCTATTATGTTATTTTTATAAATTTTCATTTAATCTAAAATTTATAAATACTTATAAAAAACTCGCAATCACCTGAAAGGGGGAAGGTTGTTTCGAAATGAGCGCACACAAAAGTTAAATTGATATAGAAAATTTATTCAATAATTAGCAATATGTACAATAAGAAGTCGCCTTTCAATCTATATGCACTACTAAATATATTTAACGTTAAGAATACTTCATGGATAATTGAATTCCGAATCTTTTAAATTTGGATTTTAACGCTTTTCTCAATTATATGCTCCTATGGTCAAACAGATAGACGGCACAAGGTGAGAGCAACTTGAGTAAACTCTTGATATATGTCGCTTATTAAGGTCCCTGAGGGCTCGTAAGCACAGCTTACGATGGCTCTCCCAGATTACTTTCACCGTATGTATAAGCGTTTCCTATCTACAAGAGTAACTCGACTACTGAGGTATCCACAAAAGTATTAATCTCCTAGTAGAAACCATAAAAAATATTTACCTAACATATATATATAT